AATAGAATATTTTATTTTCAAAAAAATGTAAAAAAATAAAATAGTTATTTACTATTTAAGAATTGAAATAGTATCTTGCCAGAGTTTGATTTTACAGAATTTACATTTTCGTATAAGTGAATTGTAAATGTTTAGAATAATTAAATAAGTATGCGTTTAATTTTATTATAATCACGATGAATCAAAAGATAATGAATATACCTATTTTAACTATGCAATGTCAAAGCTAATATATTCCATATTTTATGAACGTTAAGCATATAAATAAATGTTATTTTAAAACAATTTTACAATAATTATAATTTTAGATTGTTAGTTTTCAAAGATTCATTATGTAAAGAATATACTATTAGTTGGATATTTTAATATATAATAAATACAAAAAAAGAACATATTTATATATTTTATATACATTTGTTTTATTATTCTATTTCCACACATAATGTATTTCTATTGTTTTATTTTTTTAAATTTGATTTATCGAAGGAAATGGAATTTATTATTAGGACATTATATACCGATCATCGATTGGTTACTATTTTTACTATTGTATTGTGAAAATGTCAAGAAGTTAATCAGTTGCAAAAACAAACCCGATTGAATTCGCATTAATTATGAAAAAACGCATGTTTTCTTATCCGAAGAACTTGATAACTTTTATAATGAAACTTGAATATATATATGTCTTTTCACCCTCCCTTTTTATGGGAGTCCTTTCGAGCCCCTTTTCTACGAAACACCTTACACCAATCCAATATTATCAACAAAAAAATATATCAGTTTTTAATCTAAATATATCAGTGTTTTTTTTATGATACCAGATAGAACGTAAGGAACCAAACATAATAGAAAACAATAAATAGTGGATTAAACGATCCCATAGGGCCCTGAAATAGTAAAAGGCCCCAAAGTTCGTAAAATATCTTTTCATATTAGATTCCGAGGAAAATTACGTCTTTTTTTTTTTTTTTTTAAATGTTTACTTAAATTTCTGATATAAACACACATTTTAATTGGTACATTTTAAAATCAACTTACTTCAATTGATTTACCTTATTGGTTATTGATATTAAAAAGGAAAACAAAAAATACAAAATACTCCAATTACATAGATTGTATTATGAATAATAACAAAAAAAAAAAAGAAATACGTCAAAACATCCAATTGACGCACAGATGATATATACGTTTACGTTATTATATTAATACATACATATATATATATATGAATATAATAATATATACACATGGCTTGTCGGCCACCATATAACTTGGCCATGTAACCTCTATGAACATAATCGCTATTTGTGTTCTGACCATTATATTACAATAGGAACAAGAAGACTGAAATATATGTATATGTGTATGTACGATGTATGCGCGCGCGCGTCTCCTGGTGTGTTAGTTAATATAATACATATATATATATATATATACATATTCTAAGCGATTAATATACGCGCCGGTATTGCACGTTTGTCCTTCAATCGTGTTTCTAGTTTGCCCGGTTTTTTTTGTCTGTTATTTTTTTTTGCTTTTTTTTTTTTTTTTTTTTACTATAACGTACTTATTAGAAGAGTATTTCTCCTTGGTTTAACCAGCCCTCCCCCCTTTCTCCCCTTGCCCCTGCCCGTCACCTTATAACTGTCCTCTGTCTCTCTCTCTTTCTCTTTTTCTTCCCCTTTTTTCGTCCCATCACATCCTCGATTTCATCGGCAGGTTAAACGACCGAACCCCATCGATAATAATTGCCAGGATTGGCAAGCATCAGAATAAAGGGAGAAGGGGAGGGGGGAAGAGACAAAGAGAGGAAGTGCAGATTGATCGCGAAATTTAACGATAAGCGTGAGAGGGTAGAGGGTAGTGGGTAGAGGAAGGGGGGGTGGGTGGGTGGGTAGATAGATAGGTAGGTAGGTTAGGGAATCTGTTAGTATGATTTCAATATTTTATTCATTTTCTTTCTCTAGAAATAGCAGTAGCCAAAAAAAACAACTGGCCACCTTTTTTCGGACCACGTTGAAATTTCAACCGGCAAAATGTTATCGAATTGATTATAATCAAAATAGAAAGAGATAGAGACAGATTGTTAACAGAAGACGATGTAGATATTATGTCGAAAAAGGATGCGAATTTGGAAGGACGAAAGTAATGATGGGATGATACGTGACAATATTCATGGTGTGAATAAATCTATTCGCGTAATGTAAGAATAAGAAGAATAAGAAGAAGAAGAAGAAACATTTATGTGTAAGAATAAAAATATAATACTACAGAGAGAGAGATAGTTCGGATTTGATTGATTTGAAATAGACTCACCTGGTGGGTTCCTTTCTGCCTTATAGTCCGCCTTCCGGTAACCGTAAACGGTGTATGAATTTAATTTATTCTTTTTCTTTTTTCTTGGGAGTTTTTGTTGTTGTTGTTGGTTGTAATCAACGAGCCGCGATTTGTCTTTCCTGTTATTCTTTTTCTCTCTCTCTCTCTTTCAGGAAGAAGTCACGCACGAAGAGGAAAAGTTCATACGTGTTGGTGGTGGTGGTGGGTTTTTGCTTGTTTGTTGTTTCGTCTGAGATAGGTTTCTTTTCTCCGTCCTCTTCAAGTTTTACTCGATAAGTGTAAAGTTTAAGGAGTTAGTAATAGTCGACGACAATGATGTCCTGTTGTACAGGTTCTCTGTCGAATTTTTGTCTTTCTCCTTTCTATCTCTCGTTCTAGCTCTCACTTATTCGGTCTCGTTCGACGTCAATCTATGCAAAGATACGATGCAACAACGCCGTAGAAACTGAGATGCTGTCTACACGCGGCAACGGTTAAATATAACTCGTTGACCGGTGTGGCGCTGCGATCGCCGCGCGCAACTCCATCTCGTGATATTTGTAAAAAATAAAAAATAAAAAAGAACTTTGTATAATTAATTTTTTCTTTTTTTTCTAATTTAAATTAACAATCTATGTATATATGTTTAATTAAGTGTTTAAACGTTTTAATTAAGTTTAAGTTAATAATAAGTAATCAACAAAATTAACAATACACACATAAATATTTCTTTTTAAATTAACACGATAAATTGAAAAAATACAAGACAAATTTGTATATTACAATTGTTGGCAAAACTTTTTTATCCGACTAAGAGAAAAAAAGTTACATTTTTCGCAAACAAAAATTGAAAAGAAAAAAAGAAAATATAAAAAACACGACGTATTGTTAAACAATGGAAAGAATGCAAATGAAGACATTTGAATACAATTCTTAGAATATATGCTTTATTTAATTAAGAATACACTTATTGTTAGAGAATTAAGTTTTCCAGAAAATCATATTTTTTGTTTATTTTTTTTTTTATATAAGCAAATGAACATAAGTACATAAGTACTAGTTGTTATCCGTGTAGATAATACATATAAGAAAAAGAACTTACTCAATTTTATTTTGGTCGATTGAATAAATGTCTTACGATTTTCTTACATAATAAGATATAGCATTTTGAAGATAACAAGAGCAAAGCACGTTCGTTATGCATGTTAACTACTTTGATTATGGTATTTTTTTTTCATATACGTACTATTGTATTTAATAATATATAACATATTTTACTGTGTCAAATATTATAATCAATTAATTTCTTAGATAAATTTTCTTAAATCCGCGTGTACAAGTAAATCTGTGTGTGTTGAATGAAACAAGTTTGATGTTTTGTTTAAATGAAACAAGTTTCACAGTCGGAAAGGTAGAACGTCCAATTTTGTTTCGTCCGTTTCCTCGGTGTTTTTTGTTTTAATAGTATTATCAGTTGATACCTTAAGTTTATCGATCGGTATTATAGATTTTTTTTGAGATATACCAATAAACGATACCCAAGAAACCTTTTTTGACATGCCATTGGCAGATCGTTTACGTACGGATGATGAACGTGTTGCAGATGAACGACCCTTTACAATTGTTGATGATGTTTCGTTAGATTTCTTCCTTATTGTTGTAACATTATCGCTATTTTTTTGCGCTAAATTAGAATAATCGATTAGGTAAGAAGCCGCGATGACTGGTTTATTCGAATGATCGTTAATAGTATAGGGTTGATAGGAATGGTCATTATGATGGTGACCTTGATAACGAAGATGATGACGATTAGAATGATCATTAGGATTATGAGAAGGAGAAGGAGGATGATCAAGTTGATGATTATGATGATGATGATGATGACGATGAGGATAATGAAAATGTATATGAGGCATATGAGGAATAAAATGATGTTCACGAAATCCGCGAACAATGCTCTCTTGCATTTGTTTCCTCTTATTCCAAATTCTTTCGAATATACCAATTGAAACAGCTGTTATTAATCCAACAATTAATATTAAAAAAGCTGAGTATACATCGGCAAGTCTTGCACTGTTAAAAGTAGTCGGTGCTTTGCACGTTGGCATTTCCGGTAACATTCTTTCAGCTATTCTACGAAGTACACCGTGTTCTTGTATACGTAGAATACTGCAAATATATAATTAAACATGTAATATTAATGATTTATATTTTTACTTAATGTTCTATTTCAATGGAAACATCGATCAAGTTACCTCAAATTGATTATTTTTTTATAAGGACAAGTATTGGCCATTGGTAAAGCGACAAGGGTAAACGTCTGAGGTAAAGGAAGTTCCTTAAGCGTACATCTTTCTTGAATAAATGTTGTACGCAAAGCACGACGTGCTAAAGTTGCGCTAACAAAAAATCCATAACGTTCCTGTGAGGCTTTCATAAGACCAGTTGTCGCACCCAAACGAGATTCACGACTGTTGAATGCTTTTATGTATAGTTGACGAAGATTACTGTCGTTAACGTTCTAAGAGAATATTATAATAACACAGTATATATATATATATATA